GTTTTTATATCACGGAAATGAAAACAAAAAAGGTTGAACAAAATGTTTTATAGGCTCAGTTGTTCGATGAACAATTGGAGAAGCTAAAAGCAAAGGTATGATACCAAATATTTTGTTAATAAAATGCATAATAAATTTTGGTTATTAGCATTGTATATGAAAATGGTGAGAGAGTGTGACTATGTTTCAGGAGAAACAATTGCTAGAAGAGAACGTCAAGTTACATCAAAAGGTAATTAATCTCTCTTTTCAATTCACCTATTTAGAGATATACGTATCAATTTACAAATTTATACCTTAAAATTACATATATTATGAATTGCTAATGTTTTTAGATACCTAAAGACTTCTAACTTTTTCCGGATTGACAATTTAGATTCGAAATTTTGTATTAGCAGAGATTAGTATACGGTTTTGTACGATAAAATTTGGTTTGCGTTTAAGTTGCATTATATGATGAGATATCTTTTCAGTTTTAAGTATTTTAGAGAACAATTAAGTTTAACTTTGATTAAAAAAAATTTCCGGTTTTGTTTACATATTTTACGAATAGTGAAAAAATAAAGACAGTTGGATATCAATTTCATTTCATTGTCTCTCTCTTTAAAGAAAGAAATTATATGTCTGTTTTTTTTGTTGACGAAACTGCAATCTATGTTATGAGCAGAATGTTATAGGTCCATGGCGAGGATCGATTGATCAGCAAGAGAAACACAAATTTATAGATCTGAATTTGGATGTAGAAACTGATTTATTCATCGGTTTACCAGATAAACACTCCTAGTTATAGTAGTAGATAACCAGTTTATTTATTTCTCACTAAATATTCAAAATCCTTCAATAAGTTGTGAGGTAATATGAATTATCATATTATTTCTTGAGTTGTTGTAATATTAATTAGTCCTTACACAAAATCTTTATCTATATTCAAAATCCTTCAATTAATTGTGAGATATTTTACATAATTCGTACAATATTTGGAAGCTCAAATTCGTAAACAGAATGTCCAAGTTCCAAAACCAATACTTATTAGGAAAAATGTTCTATTTGCATCATAAATAAATTGTTCAAAATAAATCTTTTG